TCAATTAAAAATATTTCAAATACATACGCAGCCTTGCTGACATCCAACATTTTCTCAGACATTGTATACATAAATTTAAGATAAATAATAAAGGACAAAAGAGAGAAAAAGAGTAATATATAAAAGGTAGATTTATAATTTTATATTTATTTCCTCGAATTATAAGCACAGAGAATTAAAATTTCATTCTGTGTGGATACTGACTGCTTCGTAATCCAAACATTGCCGACAGATATGTGAACAGCAACTTCTTATCTGGATGTTTCTTAATAGCGTCAATTACCATTTTGTCAACTACTTTCTGATCAGCCTTTCTTTGATCGCTCGGTTTATATTCTTCCTTCTTTTTGCTGAAGATGTCACCTTCCTCTTTTTTAGCGCGCTTGTCACGTTTTCTTTTGAAATAATCATCATTAATATGTTCAAGCAATTTGGCGCCATTGACATTCAATTTCGTGGAGGTAGCGATCACATAATTTTGACTAACTCTTCGCAAAGGACAGGCATTGATCAGGAATGGTCCTGTGAGAATTTGTTAATAATTGTTATAAATTATAAGTCTCATTTTTAATTTCATAATAAAATATCTATAATAAAATGTAAAATTCACATACCAGTAATCAAAAGCAAGCCACTCTTTAATTGTTTCAAATAGACCACTCTCTTTCCTTTATGAGGACCAGCCAACAGGATACAGATTGTTCCTGGTGTCAGAGTAGGTCTCAAGTAACGACGATGTTCATGGAAACATTTTTTAGCATGGTGCACAGTAACCCGATCAGCAGTAGGATAATTTGCGCGTCTTTTCTTCAAAAGCACGATACGCTTTTCTCCGTTTTTGTCACCACCAATCTGCTTTTCAATAGTCAATGGTTTCTTGGGCTTGACCTACGACAATACATCAATATAAGTCAGATTTATATTTGCTTATTTTAGAAATGTGATATAAAATATTCTCAATCAATTATTTATGATTTGGTAATTAATTGATCACTGCTCAAATAATTTTGGAAAGAAGGATTCCAGATTCAAACTTTGGCTGAGACATTATTTTCAAGAAGTTCTTTGAAATGTTTTTAAGATGTTTATTAATTGTGACATGTAAATAAAATACACAGTACGTCATTACATTATTATAAAATTAATATGACAACCATCAACTGCAGGGTTACCAGCTGATATTCGGAAACTTTATTTGAATGCAGTATCCTGATTCTGTAACTCTTAACGACAGTATCGACATCATTATATTGTTGTTGTGCAAAGATTATGATAAAAAAGCTATACAACAACAACATAATGATACCAAACTGTCTTTAAGAATTATGGAATAGAGATATAGATATCATTTTATCCTTATTTAACATTTGAATAGAAATAAAATAATATACTCTGAATTGCTAAACATACTCCTGCAATGTCCAAAATTCAACTAAATTATTACATTCAGAAAACAAGACACAAATATTGATATAATACTATAAAAATTTATAGCATAATATAAACATCTTAAATTATATATTTTTTAGTTACTAATTACTGCAATATGTTTCAGAAGGCAGTGAAAATATATCTCAATTGTTGTGGCTTCTGGAAATATACGCAACTCTTATTGATGAAATTAAAGAATAATCTCTTAATTAAATAAATCAATCTGCCTCAAAAACGGGCTTTGGCGAAGTTATTAAGAAATACGATCTTTTTAGAGTAAAGAGATCATTTTTTTAGTGAAACGAATCAAGACCATACATTCCTAGTTTAATGTTCGATTTATAATTTTGAAAAATATTAATTATCCAGTATACTTTATATTTGTATATATTTTTAAATTATTTTGTATTATTTTTCAATTAGTGAATAACTGTTTACCTTTTTTGGAGTTTTCTTCTCAAGGAATTTATAGATAGCCTTTTTGTGAAACATGCGAGTACGACTAAACCTATAGACACCATTTCCTAAGTCATAATTCCTTGACTTTCCTCTCGCAGGCTTTCCTTTTGCAGACTTTCCCTTGCTCTTTGCATCTTCTTTGGCTGCAGCTGGAACAGCTGCAACCTTCTTCTCAGGAGTTTGAGCTTTTGTGTCCACCATCTATAAAAATAAAAATACAATTACGTTTAATTACTAAAGAAACAAAGGTTTATATAGGAAATCAAGTATATCTAGAAATTAGATTTACAATATTTTTTTTTAATTAAATTTAAACCGTTCATTTATTTATTTTTCTCTAAAGTAAAGAAAAAAAGAAAAAAGATGAACCATGCATAATTTTTAAAAGAACAAGTCTAATTATTTTATACTTGTATACACAATATCGCTGTAGTTTAGAGGTTATAAAGGTTATGCTTCCATGTTTCACGTGCAGAATGTGTACGAGAAAAGAAATAAACTTATCAATAATAACTTATTGATAACTTATTAATAGTTGAAATTACAATTAATCTCTATAAATCCAAAAAGAGAAATACATCTATTTATTTATAATTTGAAATATCAAACACAAAGGAGGCATATGTGTATTTGACGGAAAAACAAAATCAACTCTTAATATCGCGAAAATATAGTGTCACTCGAAGAGATTAGATCCAAATCATATGATATTAAACTATCAATTACAATATATTTTTGTTATAACAATCAGATTCCTTCGATTACATTAAATTACTCGTCATATTACTAACTTACCGTAAAACGAACGTCCGAAAGAACGTGCGAAACCACTACACCTATTAGGAAAAATATGAACCATGATCGATATAAATATCGACATGGAGCGAGATATATCGATAGTAAAATGCATTTCAAATCAATGAAAACAATCGGATCGCCCAAGTTTATCGTAAAATATAATTATTGTAATTAGTAAATTAACATAATGTTATAATAAATTTAAAAAATGATAGAATGAATTAGATTATGATTAATTTTAATTTTTTCTTAAAATAATTATATACTAATTATATACTATAGTATTTAATCAATGCATTAATTACTCGCAGAAAAACATAGTAATAGCAACTAGATGGACAATAAGTTTCATATGTACTTAATGTACACATACACATATAATTGAAGAAACTATTTTATAACTGCAATAACTACAAAATAATTTATTCAACTATATATACAGTGTCCGGAAAATTTTGACAAAGCGCTCGTGTATATATAGAGTGGACTAAACTGAATCGAAAAGTCCTCTATCATTTTGTAATTTTCGAAATAATTAACAAGATACTAATTACTAAAAATCGTTGAATTTTAGTCTTAAATAATTTTTTATTCAAATACTATCAACGTTACAAACAGCAAGAGACAAAAATTGTTTATTTTTTTCTCATAAAGTTTTGAGAATTTTTTCAGAATTTTTTAATATCGTATTTTTTCACGTTGGTAAAAATGAAAAAATGCAATACTAAAAAAAATTTTTTTTTTATAGAACAAGAATTTTTTATGAACAATTTTTATCTTTTGTAGTTTTTCTGTCAAATTGATAGTATTTAAGAAAAAAATTATTCAGAACAAAATTCGGTAATGTTTAGTAATTAATATCTCGTTAATTATTGTAAAAATTGCAAAATAGTAGAAAACTCTTTGACTCAGTTTAGTCCGCCCTATCTATACACAAGCGCTTTGTCAAACTTACCAGACACCCTGTGTGTGTGTGTGTGTGTGTGTGTGTGTGTGCGTGTGTGTACATACTTTATAATTATCATCATTATGTCTTTTTCTTCGAGTGTATAAGGATTAAATTAAAGTGTAAAGAATTAAATTGAACGTATATAAGGGGATAAAAATCCATGTAATGTTAATTAATCCATTTTTTTTTACTTTCCATCCTTGTATTCTTTATCTCAGATTTCCCTCGTACAACTACATACAATATTCAATAAACTTTTACAAATGCAATGACGCAGGGAAATAACGAATTTAGAGATCTCTCCATTTCGCTCCCATACGCTATAACTCTACTCATGCACCTTACACACGTACATACATTACTCAGAGGTCTTTTATCGCGTGGCGTTCAAAAACGCAATCTCACTGTACACAATCATGTTTACATGACAGGGGAGATTGTAGAACACACAAATACTTATTCTTTCCACAACAATAATCTCCGATGAAATAGCTGAGTGGCGACATTCAAAACCGTTACATAACGTGTTGACGCCATATGATAAATCTCTTCTTGCTCCAAATGGCGCAGTTGAGATCGTTAGCAGTGGAATGCCGACGTTCTCAAGTGTGACGAAGAAGTGACAATTCTTAAGAATAAAGAGTAATCCGTATATTCATGTACTAAATGCGTGATACAAAATATCGTACAAAGATTTATACAGAAAGTTATAACGAGATTTCAACGAGATTTCAATATTACAGCGATTATAAATGAAGAATCCACGAAAAAACGATGTGTGCGTAACGATAAATATGTTTTGTGACGATTGACAAGTAAAAAACTATATATATTATATATATTTATATATAACGATACAAAAAAAAAATCGTGAGACATCTTTAATAACTCCCAGGTTAACTCATCGGTAAGTAACCTCCAATTTAAATCATTTCTTTCAAACCCCATGCATTTTGTCAATATATGACAATTGTGATATAGATTGCACAGCGTTAAACACACATTGCACTATGATAGAGATGGCTTCTGATTTTTTTTTGAATATTTAAATGGAGATACTCCAAACGGCGAGTCACATCACCGCGAGATGTCCTTGTGTCCTCGTGAGGCAATATCCGACGGATGCTGTACAATTTCACATCAATTTAGCAGATGAGCAATTTATTTTACAAATGTAATGTCGAAACACGCGTACTTTGCGGATACGAATAACGAGTAATAAAAATAATGCAAACAAGAATGCATCTTAAATTTGTCGATGTGAACAATGTGTGTACATTAGTAGAGTTTTTTCATCTGTGCTTCCTTATTGTCTCTAAAATGAAAAAAAATTATGTTACATAACTCTTTCTTTTTGTACGTAAATAATTGTTAAGGTATTGTAATTGTGTATAATTACCGATAAAGACTGTATACCAATAATATTATCATCTGTACTCCAATGAACAGTAAGAACACGGTAGTCGTTAGACAATTAGGGCAATCTGTATTTTCCGGAATTTTAACATCCTTTTTTAATGTGTTAAGCCCATCTCGCATCTCTGTCATAAATGACTGATAATCGTATCCCATTGGCTGCACCTATGAAATTTATTGATGTCAGAAAAGTTTTGTGGAACTTGACTGTTGCTTTTAGATATTACAAAGAATATAAAGACCTGCGCCGTCGGAGCACGTGCTTGATTATTAAGAATAGATTCAGTCTTAGAATGAACTTCTCCCATAAAAGATTTAATTTCCCTAGCTGTATTCAATATGATATTTTGATTATTTAGCACGGCCTCGACTTCCTGTCGACGTATGGTGTCAATCAGCACAGGTTGCTGTCCTGGTTGGCCCTGAACTTGCACACCTAATTATGCATTTAGATATATCAAATTAAACGATATATGATATTGCCTCGATATAAATTAGAATCTTTTGTTATTTAGAAATTACAAATTCTAAATGTTATCTTAATTTTATTGCTTTAATTAATATCAATTTCTCCTTAATAAATTTATTTTTGTAACTTTTTAGTATTTAACCTTAATATTTTTGTAAATAAATTTAATATATTTAAATCTTTTAAAAATTCATGTAAAATTCAAAGACAAAGTTGATGAAAGATAAAATTTTTTCTACATATATATTTTTTTAATTTTTTGAAAAACTAAAGATTTCAGGAATGAATGAATTAAGAAACAATTATTCCATTTTGAGAAAAAATAGAATATAAATTCACAAATAAAAAATGATATAAAATAATAATGTAAAAGTTTAGAATAATAAAGCTTTTACAAAAAATCTTTTTAAATAATCTACGTGACATTTATGATCTCAGTTTTAATCAACTGTAATTGGCAATTTACCTCCTTGTCCAATTTGAGATACTAAACCCAAAACTCTCTCTTGTCTTCCAACAATCTCATCTAATTTCCTGTGAAGATCGCGTAAAACTTCAAACATCTGGCTTTGTCCGTGGAATATCTGCCGTAATTCTCTTTGATTTTCCGTTTCAAAGTATTCATCATATTCCACCTTTTGACTTTCTGGATGTTCCCTGTTAGAATGACATATTAATATTGAGACTTAGTATTATAAAAACATTGTGGCATCGCATTTTCTTACTTTTGGTATTCCTCTTTTTGTTCATCTAATTTCTTTTGGTAGTCTAAGTATTCCTGTTGGAGTTTGGCTTGTTCCTCTATAGAAACTTTACTGCCATCCACTGGAAGCTGTCCGGGAGGATGCAGAGAGGTAGTAAGAAAATATAAGATATCATGGTCATCAGCCAGGCCACCTAAATAATCAGAAATGCATAAAAACATGCGATATGCAATTACATCAGTATATCGTATTAATACTTTTTATATGCATACCAGTAGCGGCAGAAATTCCAAAATATCCATTTTTCGGTAACATAACGTTGTCAGCTCGGAAACATATATCATAATCTTGATCATTATTCGTCATACCGTTATGGAATAACAGCTTGAACAAAAAAGAAACTCATCAAATAAGAAATGTCAAGATAAAAACAGCTAGAAAAATATCCAGTATACTCACAGTTAACGAATTCATATAATACTCTATCCGCGCTCGTGTGGCAAATGGTTTATTGCGAAAATCTCGTAAACAGCCTGATAATTGTTGCGTAGAGCCGTCACTATTTAAGAATGGAATAAAACACAAATTATATAAAACTAGTTTGAACATGCAAGTCATATGATAGATAAGTTATTAAGAATGTAATTTACTTTATATGATCAAAGGCCTTTGTGCCGTCATTAACTACCGCCATGATGTATGGATTATTATGCTTATTGTCATTATCGAACGAGTCAAAGAAAATTCCCAAACCCGTCCAAAGATCTGAGCTGCCGAAAACGGAGCCATTGTAGAATCCCTTATCGCTTGTGTACCAGAATGCCAAACCATCCGCTCCTATCCTTCCACGTCCGCTTATTCGGAATACTAATTCTACCTCCCACCAGTCGAAAATTGTGGGTTGTTTCACCCATATTGCACCTAAACAATATATTTTATAAATCTCTTGTAAAATTGTTGCAAATCGTCCATTTTATAATGTATTTAAAAAATCAATATTTTATATATTCTGCACACATAAACCTCATAAAAATTATTTTTAATAATTTATTCCTTAAAAAGCTTAAAATATTGGTATATATATGAGATAAAAAAATGAAAAGCTTATAATATTATTTTATATATGAGATTTGTACACAAACCTTTTTGGCTTCTAAGTGATGGTGCTACTCTGACATTTTCTGCACTAGCAATGGCATCTGCAATTTAAAAGTGTTTTTAGAAGAAAACGAATATATTACATTTATATTATACGTGTAATATTTATATTAGATATATTATATGTTAAATCAGATAGAAAATAATATTAAGATTGTTATCTTTATAAGAAATAAGTTAAACATGTCTTTAATTAAAATTAACATAATACAGCAATGTTTCTTTTAGTATTAAATACTTCTTTAAAATATTATTATCAGATATTTCTTTATACAAAGGAATCTTCTATACTTTAATCTTCAGTTATCACACGTACTTTT